ACGACCCATGCCGTTGGAGGTCTCCTTCACCGCGACCTGCACCAGCAGCACAGGCGACACCTCCTGGGTGTCAGCCTCTGGGGCAACGCGGCTGGATGGGGGGCCACCCGGGTGTGTGGATCTTGAAGTAGCCGTTTTTGGGGGTGGTTTGCAAGGAACGCCCGAGGGGCGCCCACAATTTTGGGGTCCAATTTTGACAAATACCCATACACAGTTTTCACACACCAGGTCTGGACGCCAGCACGTGTTGCTTCTTGCGCGAGGGAGTAGAGGACAATTGGCACCCGTGTAAAGGCTCGCTTCTTGCACCGGGCCCGACTCCGGGTTGGGTAAATTGCCTTGTTGTGGTGTCCTTTGAACTTTTCAGTAGCTTTGCAAAGGATACTTCTGCCTCCTGCATTCAGTCCCTTTCAGATACACTGATTCAGTCCCACTGAGCGTCCCAATTGTATCCATGTCCGATGGGCCTGAAAACCAGCTCTTTCCCGGTTCCTGATGTGGCTCTGGTTGACGCCATCCATATCTCTGCAAAAAAATATGCTCAAGCATCTTGAAAAGCCAATCTCTTTCAAGTTGCAAGCCTTTGCGGCCGTCACCCCGGGCCCAAGCTGTGCCAAGGAACGGATGTATTATGCGCGGGGCATTGACAGCTTGAACTCCAAGACTGGCACGACCTATTATGGCATCGAGGTTAAAGACAGTCAGGACGGCCAAGTTGTAACGTTCGATTCGTTGGCTTGCACCGGGCTTCCTCCATTTCCCTTTCTGGAACCCTCCAGAAGTATAGCAGGATCAAGGGAAACCACCGATTAAAATTGCGATGTTTTGACGGGGAAATCCAGAGAGTCACTGACCCCTGTTGCAGCCTTGCGGCCTTGAGAGGATAACAACGCCTTCCAGTATGGCGAGAGGTGGGAGAGCGGGCCCTGCGTGTCAGAGGAGTACAAAGGCACATGGACTGCCGATGGAGGCCAGGCACTCAGCATCGATCTGCGTGTTTGTACCCTGCCACCAACTAACATGGAAGCGCAAAAAGGCCCTTTCCAAGAGGAAAGTAGTCTTTCTGCAGGGGTCTGTGCACTTCCATGTTAGCTGGTGGGAGGGTAGATTTCTAGCAATGGACTCTGGATCCTTTTGCAGCCGGTCATGGTATCTTGAAATAGAGTGGCATGGTGCATGTGGCCATGGTAAGCTGGTCAACCAAGTTGTGGCCTTCCTTGGGAACAGCGATGCTCAGGAACAGTCTTTCACGGAGAAAACCGTGCATACCAAACTGTTCGAAGCCTACACGACTCTTGCTCGTATTTGGCCTCTCCTTTTTCGCCGGTCAGGCAACACAGTCTGCGATTCCACCAGCGGCTCCATCTCGGGCACAGACTGCATCAATCTATTCAAGGCCGTGGAAGCATCTATTTGCTGGCAGGTGTCCAGCCCCAAGGCCGGGTCTCGGCTCTACGGTTGATTTCAAGCCAAAAGAAGTGGCAGAAATTCACGAAGCCCCAAAGCCTGGTGAATAGCGGTATGTTAAAGGCTCCAACTTGTGTTCCCCACTCGCCAAATGAAGGGAAATGTTTGAAGATGCTGCACAGCTCAGCCCTTTGAACATGATGTCTGTTTTTGAGATTGGTCTGCCAGTGTCCGACTAGTTGTTTGGGCTCTTGCGAGTTCCTTGCGGGCACAAAGTCAAGATGACAAGGGGTTGGCATGGTTTTGTTTCAGCTGAAGTGAATCTTGGCAATGAATCCCGCAAGGTTTGCAAGGACACCAAGGTGGCATCCGGAACGCTGTCCGCATATGTGCCTTGCCTCTCATCAGAGAGTGACAGCGGTGCGAAGCATGACGCGCGCGCACGCACTCAGAGAGAGAGAGAGAGAACAGCTGCACGCACGCACACACGCACGCAGCTTTTGCGTAGTTGTATTATTTTCAAACGTTCCGAGCTTCTAGCTGGGAGTTTGTGGCTTTGCAAGCCAAACCTGTTTCAAAGAACGCCTCATCGCGCAGGGGTGTGAGTTGCCTTGGATGTTCCGAGGGCCCAGGACTGGGCAGGTGGCCAGACCTGACCATCAATTAGTTTGTCGTGCGTTTTTTTTCTTCTTTTTCTTGCGGGTTGCTTTGGCGACTTTGTCCTTGTTCATCCTTGTTCATCCAGGCCAGCTTGCATCTTGTGGCCGAGAACAGCAAAGTGACGAGCACTCCAGCGCAAGTCTTGGCAACTCGGCTGTTCGTTTCGCTCGTGAGGGGCCCAATTTGCGTAAATCTCCCGAACCATCAAAGATAAGAGGGCCGAATGAAGAGGTTGGGTGGGCAGAAAGCAAGATCGATGTTTGGCTGCCTGAACTCTGTGCGAGGGCAGCATTTGAAACACAGTGCAGTGATGTCTTTCTTGTTTGATCCCTGTTTCGGGTTCCATCAGACAAGGACCTGAGCAGCTACTACAGCTGCAGTGGCGACGAAGCGGACGTCAAGGACCTCTTCTTTTGATGCATCTTAGTGCTTGTATGCTTGTACCTTACTAGTGATCCGATGTTCATGGGAACATTGATCAAATGTTCACTGGATTGCTGTGGGTTGTAGCAATGGGCCCCCTTGCTTGGTGAAAGGGAGACTAAACTGGGAATTTGATTGCTGCAACATTTGGACACAGAGCCACATAATTGAGATGTTGTATTAGATTGTTTTTTGTAAACGCTGGTCTCTTGCTTGTACGAAAGCTGTGCTGGAGGGAGTGACCACTGCTAGGAACAAGAATAAGCTTCATGCATCTTCATGCAGTTGAACTTGAGATAGTGGACACATGAGGATTTCTGGCCGAAGCGGGGGTGGTCAAAAGTTAGGCACCAGTTGTTGTGCAATGGAGGATGACGGGGAGAGTCCCGCCATACTATACAAAAAAAGCGCGCCAGGAGTCCTTCGCGGTTTTGAGCGCAGCAAGTTCTGCCAGCGTGTCTTTCCTGCTGATGCTGGTTTGGCTCCATGTCCATTGAGGACGGCGATTATAGTCGATTCGGACCGGTGGCCATTCGACTTGCCATTCAGGTTCGCTTCCTGAAGGATCACTGGCCGCTTGTTGGCTTCCGACTGACGAATAGGAATGCCTGTTTCAACCCGTTGGCAGCAAGAATGTTTAGCCCATGTGAGCCGGTATGTAGATTTATGTTGAGTGCAACAGTCAAAATGCCAGGTTGCCTTTCAGTCAATCGGAATTGTCAACAATATTGAGATGATTATTGTCAGATTGCATTGAATTATATATCCCATTCAAGAGATTGTGGGTGGCTCATGTGACAACACACCAATCGACAAAACTCCGTGCTCCAATCCAACACTTGCCCACAACATGACGTGGGAGTATCTACGAGGCGATGTCCAATCCAGGTATTGAATCCATCCCCTCCCTGCCAAACATTGTAACGGTAAAGGATGAGCACACGGCTCAGTTAAAGCAAACCCCAAAGAGATCAATGTAATGTAGTTTCAAGTTTCAAGCTACCACATACCAAAATCCCTATCCGCCTCAATGAGAACACAGCCACTAGGAAGGGAACGGCCAGCATTGAATCAGCCGCTCCCGACCAAAGCCAAAGCGCTTAGTGTCTAAAGCTCCGCTGAAGGCCAAACCTGAACACGCCAAGCAGTCGCACTTGTACGATCAAGATTGTGTGCATATGATATACAGCATTATATATGTAACTTATTTATATATATATATATATATAACATGTGTGTATATATATATATGTTATTTCACATTGTAGTGTACTCTATTATATTAAATTATATTATATGATTGTATGTTATATTGTGTCTGGTTTATATTCTATATTAGTATACTGTTTTATACTGTTATATGCTATCACATATCATGCAACATGATTATTATTGTGTTATACAACATTATGCTATATTATAGTTTATTAGGTTATATTATGATATATTTTATATTTCTATATTACATCATATAGCATTTTACCATATTATACTATACTATATTACATTGCATATATGCATACTGTACATATGTATGTGTGCGTTCGCACGCCTATGTCTGAACCTGGCCCCACGCTAATGTATCTCAAGAGTTTTGGACGCTTTCCAGCCTCTTGACCTGGGTAACTGGCATAGCAATCAGTTTCGCTACCGTATCACAAGTTGAGCGCAATCTCGGGCCCAGTCTCGCTTTCAACAAACCTGATGCTTAGAAGTCGCTGCCTTTTCTTTTATTGGGAAGGTCACTCGTACCAGGTGGACGAACCATGTGGCCGACCGAGAACACACCTCCACCACTGCATTCTTCGGCACATGCAGAAAGGTCTGTTCGGTTTAAGCAGGCATGCCCACGGCACGTGAAAAAAGCAAGATGTGTAGATGCTGAGCCAGTTCGGCTATGCAACGAGCATTGAGAGGATCCAGATCCTCAAGCTCTTGTTCATGTATCGGTTGGGCACATTCCAACTGTAGGGGCCCTTCCGCTATAAGTTGCAAGTCATGTATGGAGGACGGGAGCGGGCCGTGTTTTCCCGGGTGGTGTGCACCCAGTGGCTTTTTGCTCCTCTCCGGCCTTACGGAAGGCGCGGGTCTGAAGGGAGCAGCGCTGAGGCTATGAGTTGGCAGCCCAAAGGGAGCTGCTTGAGTGTCAAATAGTTGCCAACTGGCAAAGAATCCTGGCAAGGCAACAAGCTGGAACTAGGCTACAGCGACAAGTTTCTTTCCTGGCCAATGTGCTGAGCAAAGCAGTGCAACTGTGCCGCGGTGCCGAAGCGCATGCGACAATGCTGTCACTGACGCGTATTGCACTGCCGACACGAAACAGAGCTGGGTGCTATCACAGGCCGGCAAGGTTGCCGCTTGGATGGGGGTAGACTTGGCTGGCTGAATGTGCGTGTGCGGGCGGGCGGCGTCGGTGTCGGTGTCGGTGTCGATGTTTGTGTTTGTGCCTGTGTGTGTGTGGAAGTGCTGAACTGCTTTCTTGCGCCACATGGCGGTTCCACCTGGCTAAGGCTTGTACAACTTGGCTTCAGTCAACTTTTGGCATTGGCCCCAGTCGAGCCTGTGATTTGTTGCGTGAATTTGGCAGCTGTACCTCTGAGCGCTTTCAAGTTCGCCAATCGAGCAACAGTTGGATGAGAGATGCGAGAGTACATATTTATATCCACTGTTTGTCAAGTTGATTTGAGCCTTCCTCCAGATCATTTCGTAGCTTCCCCTCATTTCAACACAACGTATTGATTTATGATCGCCCGCCATTTGAGGAATGCCAAGATGTGAGGACCTTCAAGATTGGACCGCTTCGGCTGAGGTTCAACCGTGCTGGGCACATCTTTAAGCTCGTCTATGTCCGTTCTTCCTGGGCAGGTCTGGAGGTGCATGCGTGGAGTGCGTTTGTTTGGGAACTAAGATGAGACGCAGAGGATGAATATTCGCATTTGGCAGCATCCAATGTACAGATCGACGACTAGAAGGCCACATTCAACTACGAAGTTCGCGATGAGCTTGACTAAATCTGCAAATCAAGCAGCCCAGAATGGGAACTCATTAAGTTGCAATATCCTCATGTGGATTCTGAAGGGCTGTCTACTTCGGAGTCGCAGAGCGAGTCCGTAGGTGCGCGAGCCCGGGGTCCTTGCCGTCATTATCATCGCCGGCCTTCTTTGGCCCGGGCCCTAAGCTTCTTCGATCGGAAATAAGCCAGTCCCCAAAACGACCGGAAGATGGGGGTTAAACGGGGACAGTCTCACCAATACATGGGACTGCTGAAATCCGCCTTGATTATTTACATGGTTCTGGGTAGACCATTTGGTAGACCATTTTCATACCGGGTTTGGTTTGGGACTATGGTTGCCTGGGAGACTTGCTGGTGGTTCTCTATCGGGTCTGAGAGATGGCTTGTGTCCGAAGCCGAAAAGCCAACCTAAGCGAAAGCCGCCTCCCCGCCTTCCCGCCTTCCCGCCTTTCCTTGAGGCTCTTTGGCTGTCTCTACCTGGCGAAGGTAGAGCTCTTTGCCCGTTCCTTGGAGATCGCTCGGCGAAGCGCTACGAGACGCTGGGAGCTCCTATGCGGTCTGAGGGTCCTAGGATGGAGATATCACCATTCCAAGAATCACGCAGCGAGCCTCATGCTGCGCGCTCTGAAACTGGGTCGCGTACACGTCGAAACACGTTCCAGTCATGAAGGAGTTTGAAAACTTGTTCATGAGGTCGGCGCTGCGATGGACGTTCGTGGGTGACAGTCATCCGAATCCCTCTGAGGAAATGGCCACCTTCATCCAGAACTCGAACAAGATTTGGTGCTCCCCGATAGCCATGTTCCAGGAAGCCCAGCATTCTCCAAGCCGGCGCAAGCTGGAAGGCAGCAAGCCGTCCAACGGCTTGCCATCGCATGCTGAATCCTTTTGTGGATGGACGAAGTCCTGCACCACCTAAGAAACCATGAGAAACCACTGTTTGTTGGTATTTACAGGGAATCAGACCATTCCAGGGCTTCTTGGGTGGTGCGAAATGGATTTTGCAACCATCCACAATTGCACCAGCCTCAAAGCCTTTAGAGTTGGGCAGTAGCTTCAGGTACTACACCCTGGCCCAGGACTACTTGGGCTTTTGGAACTGCCGCTGCCCCGAAAGCTGTCGAAAGCTGTCTGTCTGCCTTGCCAGCGGCGAGTTTTCTGTGTGGAACCTGTTGGCAAGGTGTGGATTGGTTGGCGATCATCATGACCACGGTCATTGCAATCAGCTTTGGGCTGCTCGTGCCTTAGGACACGAAGCACCAGCGAGCGACTTCACACATTCCTTGGCGTGTTTGGCAAGAACCAGGTCATGTGTAAAGCCCCCCCTCTAGCACTTGAATTACATACAACCATTTGCGGGCATGCGTAAACTCGAGCACACGCATTGTCTTGCGGCTTGTCGGTACGCTTTCCAAGCAAGCTTTCTCAGAGTTGTTGCGTGCATGGCTGCTTTACAGTTCTAGGCGGCTTCCATTGTTTCAATCACAGAATCTCGAAGCCAAGACACGGAGCGCATATACTTTGATTGCAGTATTCGATGGAGTATGCTGAGAGTTTCCGATTTGTTGGAGCTGCTTTGCTAAAGCACTAGCAAGGGATCACGTTCCTCACCTCTGACATGCCAAGCAGAGTGCCTGGCAAATCTGTTGGGTCCTTTGCTATTTGAGCAGCTTGCGAAATGGCTGGCTTTATACAATCAAAAGGGCGTGACGGGCAGGCACTTCGTAGGCTGGCGCGAATGGTCTGCGTACGCGCGCCTGGCATAGCTGCCCATTCGCATGCCACACCAGTCCTTCCTTGAGCTGAAGTGGAGGCAACAGCAGCGCACAGTGCAGACTTCACGGTATTTGTCAAGCTTCTTACCTTTTATGCAATGAGTCACGCCACCGCATTATTGGAACAGCTTTTTTCACCGTAGCGGTCCTTTGCGTCTCGCGTTGTCAAAAAGGCTCGAAATCAACTGGCGGATTTGACCAATTTCAATGGTCGGTGTCAGATATTTGCCGCTCCTAAGCGCATCCAGCACACACCCGGAGCACGTGCCGCGGGCAAGCAAGTTGCAAGCGAAGACATGCAAAGGCAGCGAACAATGCGTGACGATGACTGTTGGCAGCTGATGAGCAAAACTGGAACATCATAAATTATTGTGCCACAAAGGCAAAACGCCTTCACATGAGCAGCTCTTGAGTTTGTCATGCCTGCTCCTAAGCAAACCCTAAGCTCACGCGCGAGCAACGCTTGAGAGCAGGTCAAGTATATTACATCTTTGCATGCGTATGTATTTGTTTAGAGTTTACGTGTACATATTGTAGCACCGTACATAACATGATACAAATATCCAAGCACATGATGCGATTGTCGATGTGGTAAGATGTGGTAAGTTTTGGTTGAGAAGCAGGACTCGGACCGAACTGATCAGCTCCTTGAATAATTGTGCGGTGTGCACTTGCCCATGTTGCTGATAGATGCGCGTAGTCAGAGCAACAGACGAACTGAACAATGGTCAGATAGTATGATAGAACTGATGCGATGTGCTCTGAACTTTTGCTCCTACACGGGAAAGAAACAAAGCCCAATGGCTGGGGGGCTATGAATCTTCTTCTGCGCTCACACGCAGAGTCCTGCGCTTCTGTGGGCTGATCCCACGTGTTTGGCCGGACTGAAAATCTCCGTGCTCTTGGCTCCTTGGTCCCCAGCAGATTGCATAAGCTTGGATTTGCGAGGCGGTGTAGAGGTTCTATTTCAAGTTTTGGCTCCTGGCTTTTGGTTGCTGGTGTTGTGAGGCTGCACGTGTTCATCGGAGAGGTGAACACAGAGCCGGGAGCCGAGCTTTTGCCTGGGCCAAGGCTGAATCTGTTGATCGGCAAGGAGTGTTTGAAGGGCCGCAGAGGTTGGTGTCAAATCGCAAGATGGTCCAAGACCGATCACTTCATTGGCACCCACTTTGGTCAGGATCTTTGGCGTGTGCTGGTTGCAACATTTGCAACTTGTCATGATGCCCGGAGCTGGGCTCATGGGTTTCGTGATGCTAAGAGGCATGAAGGGGCCCTTTGCGGGCTGCATTGTCTCCAGACTTTCTCAGCCCGTCTTTTTCGCTAGGAAATGTACCATGATCGCGTCGCATCCGTGATTTATCGAATGAGAAGCACTGCTTTGCGCTAAGGTTGGGGAACATCGTTGCAGAGGCGGGATATCCAGAGGGCCTAGGCCATCTGACCTTCAGCGAAGAGGACATGGGTGTTGCTCAAAATTCAGCAAGGGAAAACCGCAAATGTTTGTTTTTTTTTCCGTTTATCATGCCATTTTAGCACATGTTTTTGAGCCACACCCAGATGGATATGCTTTTTGTCGATCCTTTTCGAAGGGACTTTTCTATTCAAAGGGAAGCTCCAGTTGGACTTATGGGTGGCTTTCCTTCTGGCTTCCGTAGCTATCCTAGAAAAGGATGGTGGGTCAAAATGAATTCACCAGGGGACCGCAGGTTGCAATTGAAGCTTCCATTTACCAGGGTTCCATTTTGGGTACATATGTTGCTATTGGGTTGGACCTTTAGACTTTAACCTTTTGGGAAATGAAGTTGGGTTTTCCACTAAACTTTCAAAACGTGGTCCACTTTTGCAGGGGGGGCGTTGCAGCAATCAAGTTGAAACGGCTCCATTTTTACCGAGACATACCTTCCGCAGAGCTCATTGCAGGTGACCCTTTGCCGCTCACCTTTTGTCACATCCCTGGCATCAGGTGGATGCCAACGGCTACCCATCTGTGGATGTGTATCGAGGGACAGCCACGCCCCGATGTGCGGATTGGGATGGGAAGGTCTCGCAACAAGGGATCCCAAAGTGACCGCCAGAAAGACACCACAGCCAATTGGCAAAGAGTGCGACAACAGGCCGTAGACCAGAGGGCCCAACAAGTTGCGGCAAAACCCTAGCGTGCCCCGTTTCCGAGTTGAGAGGCAAAGACGCGGAGCGAGATTAGTTTTAGTTCCATTGGCTTTGGCACGCGCCGGAACCATCCACGCGCCATCTCGTTGGCAAGTTGGGCCGCCCAGTGCTTGGCAACAATGAGTCATGAGATGTTGGGATGTTACATGATTCCAAAAAGCGCAGTGGTGTCACATCTTGGCTACGCCGAGAATGAAATTGTTGCGCACGTCCGAGAATCCTTCACTCGATCCGATCGGTCGCCGCTTGGCCATGGGGCAAGCCATCGCGACCTATCGCTTTTACACCTACGGGCGCAAGCATTTTACTCAAACGGGATGGATGCTTGGATTGCATGAAGGGTGTGGGCTCAGTTGAAGACAGAGTTTTTTTCCGGCATGGTGCAGTGATTTTGCACGGTTCCTTCTTCAAGGCAGGCCATGTTTGGTTGCTCGCTATAGCGTGAATTCGCAATCTTGCAATCCAAGGAAAGCCCACTCGGCTTCCTATGGGAACGGGCAGGATCTTCAGACGAAGAACTTGCGTGGCCGGGTACACGTCGTGACGGGAGCCAATTCAGGACTGCAAGCAAACGGCGTGCTGTGTTCCAGAGCTGCAAACTGCATTATTTGCCAGGTTTGCCTGCATTGTAGGTGCTGAGTTCTGGTTGCGTTTGAGCTCTGCATCATGAGAGGAATTGGGCGAGAGATTGCTGAATACCTGGTTGGCCGTGGCAGTCGCGTATACATGGTGCCTGGCTGCATGTTGGCTGACCTGGTTCCTGTTTGGGCCATGTACCACGCATAGCCGCAGTGGCTGATGGTGCTTGGGAATGCGGATGTGCCGATTGCTTGATTTTGTCATTGGGCACGCGGAGGTGTGCCGAAATGCTGAGAGAGGCAACAAAGCCAAAGATGAGATAGTGGAGAAGACCGGAAGCAGCCTGGCTGATTGTCATTGAAGCCTGCTTGTGAGGATTTGTTGGAAGCTGCGCACATGATGCCTTGTGCGTGTGATTGTGATAATGTGTTTGGATCTTTGTGCGTGTGTGTCCGCGTATGTGTGTTTCAGCGTGTGTGTGTGTGTGTGTGGGTGGGTGGGGGGTGGGTGGGTGGGTGGGTGTGTGGGTGGGTGTGTGGGTGGGTGGGTGTGTGGGTCGGTGGTGCTTGTGTGTGTGTGTGGGTGTGTGTCTTTGTGTGTGTGTGGATTGTGTGTGCGCAAATTTGAGAGTGCCATTTTGTTGACCTTTTTTGTGTGTCAATTTGCAGTCCTGTTGATGAATATGGGTGTGTGTGTGTGTCAAACTGGGACCCTCAAAAGGTTATTCAGGCTTGAACCAAGGTGACAAGGAGGTGAACAAGGTAGCCTCAAACAAATGCAGCCTTCACAATGGGTATGGGTCAAGATAAAACCACCCTGATATGGACCATCGGGCAAGCCATTTTGGGGATTCCATGTTGACAACCACACCTTTGCAAGGAGTATATGGCATATATTGCACTACAAGCTTATATTGGTGGCAAAGCATCCATACCTCCAAACCCATACCGAAATTGTCCCCAGCTGTTTTCTTTGTCCCCTTGTTTGGTGCTACCCCTTGGTTTGGTGGTTTTGTGTGGGAACACCCACCATGTTGGGGGGTTCCCCACAAAAAGACACCCATCCTATGATGTCTCCTTTGTGTGTGGGGCTGAGATAGCGACGTCCATTTGCTGGTGGCGGACTGTGGCCTGGCCAGCGACGTGCGCCGTGTCGCCGCGGAGCTCCGGGAAAAGGACCGGACTGCTGCCTGGGGCCATTTGAGCGAATTCGGACCCCGTTTCGTTCGTTTGCTGAAATGAAGATGTCTAGCAGACCAGGAAAAAACCAAGGAAAAACCCTACTTCGAGGGAGACAAAGACCATGGGAAGGGTCAAGTTCGATGAAGATGTTGTTCATTTTCGACCGGTTGGTTTTAAAGAGAATCGTTTTCACTACTGGACTTGTTTTGTTTCTTTTTTTTTCCGGGGGAGGATACGTATGGGTGTCAAAGTCGGACTCCGGAGATGGTGGTGCTTTTGGTTTGCCTTTAAACCAAGCCCCAAAAAGAATACCCTCAAAACCACACACAGGCACCTCCAAAGTCAAATGTTTGCGTGTGTGGTTTGCTTTTTGATTTCCTTTTACACAGCCCCAAAAGGAGAACATTCAAAGCGAAAGCCACCCAAATGGAAGTTGGGTCTACCAAGTGGATGTCGTGCCTAATGTCGAGCCTGATGGATGAATCAACCTGTGTTTCCCCAAAAAGTGAGCAACAGGATTCACTGTTGAATGGGGACCCGCCTCTCAACCAACCAATGGTTTGTTGATTAGTGGTTTCCATTACCAGGAGGATGGGCAAGCGGGCTTTTGGCCCCCCGTTTTGGTTGAGGTTCTTTTAACCATTGAACATTTTTGGGTGCTATAGGTTGTTACTTGCTGTGAGGGTCGAAAGGAATGTTGAAGTAATCATACACCAGTTTGATATCCAGAAAGAGTGATTTTCCATTATCATGCTTTTGTGTTTGGCTTCAAGCCTATCCTCAACGGGGGTTCCATGTTTTTGCACCCGAATCACCGAAAAGAACATGGGATACTAAGAACCCTCATTGACATGTTTGGAACTTGTTGGGGGTTTTACATGAGTTTGTGCGACCCGCATTTGTTTTTTTCGCAAGAATATCTTTGGGTGACGGGCGGCTCGGCTCCGAAGCCAGGTCTCCGGTGCGCAAACGGAGAATCGATTCGGGCGCGAAAGTTGTTGGCCCAAGGCAGTGTCTGAACCTATCATCTTAAAGCTTTTGCGGGTTCGAATTTGGGCTTGATTTGGATTCCTTGTCAGTTCCCAGTTGGTTTCCCTTCGGGCAACTCCAAAATTAGATCTTGGCGCCAGGAGAGCGGAATCAACTGCCTGGTTTGCAACGCGGGGGCGATGATGTTCAAGCGCACCCTCACCACAGAAGGCCACGAGGCGAATCTGCGGGGATTGGAGCGGCTACCTGACTTGGTGGTTCCCAGCCATCCCCTTGGCTTTTGAGCTTTTGGGGATTTCCGTTTAACCCACTAAAGTTGAACTTTTAGCGAGGGATGTGAGGACAGCCCAGCTGAGGGTGTCTTTTTGGGAGCTGGAACCCTTTTGGGTGGCAAACAAGTAACTTGTGCGCTCGACCTCCATGCCCCCAAGAGGACGGTTAGATGATGTTTGGGAAAGCCGCCCCCTTCACTACCCTCAAAGCACCAACCCCTGCTCGGATCACCTGTGACGGCTTTAAAAGGCAACAAACATGACATGGGCCTGGTGAATGACCCTCACAATTTCACTCAAACAGGATGTACCCCGCAAGACGAAGCCTTGGTTTGCGCGAGGCATGTTGGCAATCATCAGATCCTGGTGGCAAGTGCCCATGCAAGTTTCCGCACCATTCCTCAAGTGAAGCACTTTCTGTCCAACTCTGCAGTCACGAAGTTGCAACTCCCGGGATGATCGCCGGGATGGTCATCCCTTTACCAGTCGATCAAGGCCCTAAGAATTGCAAGGCATCCAGCCATTCGGGATATGGCAGGCGCCAGGTTTTCCATATTTTTCTGCGTTTCATGTCAAGGTGTGTTTTGAAGGGAAACCGAAAGGAACCTTGACTGCTATTGGGTTGGATCTTTAGACTTTAACTTTTTGGGAAATAAAGGTGTTTTCCACTAAACCCCCCAAAAGTGAATAACTTTTTGCAGGGGGATCAACAGCAAATCAAGTTGAAACGGCTCCATTTTACCGAGACATACCTTGGGCCGCAGAGCTCATTGGACGCAGGTGACCTTTGCCACACACCTCCTGCATGGTACCTACCTCCTGACAGAGGAGCTGCGGCCGCTGCTGCGGAAGGCAGAAGCCGGGCGCAATGGACCCATGGAAGGGGGAAAACGGTTTCCCCTTGGAGCCACTAATATGCTTCTGGTTGCTTAATGAAATGACTTGAGCCCTTCAAAATAGTTGGTGGATGCAAAGCCCCAGGTAAATGACACCAGATGCCCCAAAAGAATCGCATGCCCGCATGAGGGCTGTTCAAACCTCGAAGGGAGTGACACATTCAAAATCAGGCATCCCCCCTTTCGATCCCTCACTCAGCACGACAAAGGGAGGCCTACCAGCGCCCATGGCTCTAGAATTACGCGATCGATGAATATATACATGAAGGATAGACATATATTATGTATAGATATATATATATATATACACACGTAAAGCCCACACACATATATTAATATATATATATATGATATATATGTATATCCCACGTGTATATACATATATATATACGTATATACATATGTGCATCAAATTGACACATGTGCGCTCCTTTGTCGACTGCCCACACATGCCAAGTGGACTTAGGAAGACCCGCGGGTCGTGGTGGTGAGCTCTGGTGGCATCCCGGATCAGAAGAGCACGAGGGGATCCCTTGGGCTGCCTGGGTTCGATTGTTGACGGCCATGACGAATCTGGGATCCACATGCTGCGTACAGTTGCTTCCTTTTGCTGAAACGAATATTTTGTACTTTTCCTGTTGGTTTAAAAGGGAATCTATCTTAATTGTTCCTGGAGACTGAAGCAAATGCCTCAAAGACCTTGGGGTAGTTGTAAGGTGAACGAAGGGAAAGCTATGGTGCAAGTCCCTTTTTGTAAGTAAGTCACATTTAAGAGAGATGATGAAATCAAAATGATGGAAGGCGGGCTGGAGTTGTGCCATCCTCTATCCAACTCTAACTAGGTATGGCCCCTGGCAAATGAGCGGAGCCTGAGATGGGTTTGTCTCTATAGGTTTCGCTTAGACAAGGCTTCCATTGCTG